TACATATGACTGGATTCGAACCCAGGACCTAAGGATTACATGTCAAGTGATTAACCCCTGAGTCACCGACGCTGTTATTTATTATGATTACGAATATTTTATAATATTGATCATCACCCCCAACTTAGGGTAAGCTCCGAGCCTCGGTGGGGGTTTTTTATATCTCTTTTAAAGTTTTTATTTTTATTTTATAATGTAACTTAATTTGACATGATTTAAGTAATCCAGACTACAATTTGCCTGTATTGTAATATTAGTTAGCAAGGAACAGACCTAATGAAGCTCTACAGCCTGTAATCAACACTACGCAGTCCGGCTGGATCACGATTACACTTCTCAGAACAATCACCTAGGATATTATGTGGTACTGATCCAACTTGTTAGTTAATATCAAATTATACTATAAATATCTCTCATATTAATAAAAAAAATACTTAGTAATTTAATTTATGATTATCAAGTTATCGTCCGCGACTCAGACCGTGCGGAATTTAAAAATAGTAACCTATGTGTTCTTCCAGGCTGAGTTCTATATCTATGCCAAATTTTATATCGATCCGTTCTGCCGTCCTGGCTATGTTCAAATAAACATCTAAACATTCGCATTTATAATATTAGTAAGAAATAAATTAATGAATTTATTTTTCTTTAAGTTTCAACAATAAATTTTCTATTTGAATAGTTGGTTGGTACATTAGTCATGGTAACCAACATTTGTGACATGAATAAGGCATAGCTTACATCGCCTCCATAGCTCAGGGGTTAGAGCACTGGTCTTGTAAACCAGGGGTCGAGAGTTCAAATCTCTCTGGGGGCAATCAATATCAATATATGATTTTTAAAGAAATGTAATTTTTTGGATTTTCAAGACATTTTTTATACAGAACAACTATGTTATAAATGTGAATGTTTAGATGGATGTTTGTTAGAAGGTATCTCCAGAACAACTACATGGATCTCGCTGAAATTTATCATAGATGTAGAACATACACTGGAAGAACACAGAGACGACTAATTAAGTTTTTTTTTTAATTCCACGAGGACGAACAACGAACTAGTTTTGATAATAATATATTCAACAGACATACCCTAAATTTGGATTTAAAAGAATAATAGAAACAGTAACCTGAAATCGAAGCGAAGTTTAAAGCAGTTTGGAACCTCCGCGTCGACAACCATTCAACTTGATTTCTTTTACACAACTTTATGAAATGTTAAAACTGTTTTCTTCACTGTACAATCTAAGTTTACCTATTTCTTTTCAATTGTCTACAAGATTGCATCTTTGATTTTATGTTTGTTTAAAAACGATGACAAAGTCCTTAGAAACGATTCCAAAATGTTTGACAAAGATTAAGTGACAGCTTAGTTAAAATTAGTTATCAGTTTTACTAGATGTGAAAAAGAGAAGAGATCTTTGGAAATTATCTTTGTTTTCATACATGTCTTTGTTGTATGTTTTTTGTTCAATCTTATATTGAAGTATGTTATTAACTAATTTGATTTCTTTATTTGATGTTATATCTAATATAATAGAGTCACATTATTTGAACAGCTGTAGAGAGATGCTAACGTAATTCCATTACAGAGATCGCGGTAGCTTTTGCGTTAGTTTTTGCTACTTTAAATTAAATTGGACGTCTTTGTCTCTGCGAACCTAAATATTAGCTACTTAATTCAAATGTTTCTACAATTGGTAGATTCTATTCGATGAAGGTAATTTTTGCTGTCACTTATTGAAAATCCGTTTTGTTGCTGACCTTTTCATGCGAATACGAATTCTAAAGTCGATGCAAATCTAGTAGTAGTAAACTGATAAGCGAATTGTGATCTCCCAAGACATATATTTGACACAACGGTGTCCAAATACTAAATAATTGTTTTTTTTTTCATAAGGTGGCAAACGAGCGAGCGGCCACCTAAAATCGCTGAAATAGCGAAGTGACCGTTGCCCATAGACAGAAAGAAAATATCATTCCTTTCCATGCATCCTCTCATCCGGAAAGTCCACTACCACTTCCCATCCTTTCCTTATGGCAAAAAGGGTGGGAAAGGGAAGAGGTCTAAATTAGGCCTCCAGTACGCACACTCATCAGACGAAACGCGGAATTGCTTCCACTTTACCTGTCTTCACAACTGCCTGCCTGCCTATGCCTGTTACAACTGAATAATTAGAAAACATACAATTTCAAAGTATTCCGTTGTAACTGAAAACTAACGCGACATTATTCTAGTGAATCTTAAACGAGATTACATTTAAGTCTTGCTCCGCTAAAACCGTTTAATTTTGCTCTTTTTAGCGTAATAAATTACGAGGACGCTAAATGCGCCGCGCCAAGTCCGCTCCCAGAATTAATTATTTTCTTTCTGCAGAGACGGAATCGCCGATAGTTTCTTGTGAAAAGATAAATGGACGTAAATAAACTCTTTAGATGGAGGTAATGTAAAACAATTGCAATACGAATTTTTCATAGGTATGTAATATCCCGAGAGGGAGCTGCCTCCGAGAGGGAGCTGCCTCGGCAGCTGACGCAGACGGGGCCGCGGACGAGAGCGAAAGCGTGCCCATGGCTTCGTCCCGATGCGTTGGAGGAACAGAGAGGTTTAGTGGGTATGCCTCCGCTATGGAGGAGAATCCCACATACCATCCAACTACCGCGTCCTCCCCGGGGCGCGGAGTATGCATAAAGCATTCCCCTCTGAAAAAAAAAAGGTATGTATTTAATATCGGTTATACCGTGCATAAAAATACTCAGAACAGAACAGAAGGGAAGAGAAGAGAGAAAAAAAAGAAGTTTCAAGCTCCTAACTGAGAAAATGACGCCATTCCTATTCAATTATCCATCCCCACATTCAACCCCTTACAACCCTTTTTGCGTGTTACAATTTCATTCTAGTCAGACCAGTAGTTTTTACTTAAAAGAAGGACAAACAGACAGACAGAGTTACTTTCGATTTTGTAATATTAGTAAAGATTAACAGATTATCGTTATCATTAAACTGAGCATGACAATTAGTTTGAACATATGAATAATTCAGTTGACAATAATTTCAATTTGACATACAATTGAATTGCTATCACTGTATTGGCTTTACATGACATTACCGAGTGTGAATGTAATATGTATGGTTATGTATGGCATTCATTGTTTTACAATAAAACTCGTATAATAATAACACAATTAAAACAATAAACAGTGAAACATATTTAACAAAAACATTGTTTATCTATCATATGAGTTTCTTGTAATGTTTAAAGGCAAATTTCTGTACGTCCTTCATATCCTCGGTAGTATAGTGGTAAGTATCCCCGCCTGTCACGCGGGAGACCGGGGTTCGATTCCCCGCCGGGGAGGATTTACTTTTGCTGTTGAAAGCAATACCACAATTTTGCGGTTTAAAGAAACTAATTAAATTGTTTTTTTTTCAAGCAAACTTTTAAGTGATGAGTTGGGTTACCAACTATCTTATACGTCATAAATCTAAAAACCTCTTCAGACAAGAAAATAGAAGTATAGGTTTAGGTCTTTACCTAGTACTCAATAAGGATTTATTTATTAGCTCGTTGTTTTTTGAGTATTTGTCTGGTTTGTAATTCTGACGCCTAAATTGGTGGACCTTAATATCGCCTCCATAGCTCAGGGGTTAGAGCACTGGTCTTGTAAACCAGGGGTCGAGAGTTCAAATCTCTCTGGGGGCAATGCGGGAATCGTCTTTTCTTTTGTTTAGGAACAGTTATATACTAAATCTTTTTTTATATTTCCAGGATTCACAAGGAAAGGATCAAGATTCGATCGTCAGAACACATCAAGACAAAGCTCAACTTAAGAAACATTTGTTCGTGATATTTAGATTTAAACTGTCGTATTTATAAAGAGAATAAAGGTTTATAAATGAAACGATCGTTTAAAGTAAATGTATTTAAGTGTATTAGCAACGTTGGTACATGACATTACAGAATAATACTGTCGTGGGATATTATCGTAAGACGCGGCGCCATCTGCCGGCCGCCATAACAAATATACTAGAATACAGAGTAAAAAAAACCTCATCACCCGTACAATATAAATCGTGCACGTCTATGCAACATACAATATTCAATACAACTTTAAATACGCACCTATTACATCTATAAATTCAATAACTGATTATTTTAATACATTAAGGACACTACTGATAAATATAAAAAACGTGAGCATTCATACAAATAGGAGATTTATTTCACTTATCAATACGCTTTTATAATAAGGATGATCAAAAAACCAAAAATTAAGTGTTGCCATATGCCAAATTAATTTGTTACAATTGGCTAACTTGACAGATGTCAACTAGTGACAGGAAAATATTCAAGTTTGAAAATGTTTGACACAAAAATTAAAATGTTTACTGCTTTCAATCATCCTTATAAAAGTTAATACGAATTTTATTATAGCACAATCATCAAACTCCATTCGTACAGAAATCGAATCGTACCGAATACAGCCCTATACCATGAGAAATTTCTACATTAGTCAATTACACTAAAAAATATTACTAATATTTTCTAGTACCCATACATATACTCGGTAAAAAATACTACAAAACTGCATGTGAAAGCGTTAACACAAAAAAAACGAAGAAAAACTGTGAAGTAAAGCGTATCGTACTTACAAGATGGCTATTATTTATGTATTTATGGTAAAAATTTCCAAAAATTTTAATTCCATATTTCGAGTCTTTTACCATTTTAAGCAAATCCATATTTATTATTGTACCCACATAAATATAGGCCATTAAAACCTTCTGCAAATTTAAAATTAAATAAAAAAATAAAGGAAAGTAAAAGGAAACGAAAAAAAAACAAAACATAAAATCATGACGTTTATTCTCTTTGAAAATTATAATATATCTGTACGCTTGAGAATTTTTTTTAATCTACATACATAAGAAAAATTTAATTATTTCTACATAAAGTCGCAACGACAAACGAAGATTGCCTTTGTTAAAATATTTACTTTTTTATCATAAAATTTTTAAATAAAATATAAATAATCGAGTATTACCGTTCCAACAACTCTATAATCTATGGTTGACCATAGATATTAATATATTTTTTAAAACCGTGGCATAACACTAGAGTATAGATCCCCATAGATGTCACTACGATGACTTAATAATTACTTCGAAATTTTAGAGATCTGTGAAATGGAAGATAAATGACGAGATACGAACATAACCGTGGGCTTTCACTACATTAACATCTGTATAAAACATTGTAATGACGAGCAATAAAAACCCACGGTTAAACTGCAACTATACAAGTTTAGAACATGGTATATAATGCTATGTAAAAAAAACTCTAATAGTTCCTACATTGTCTAATAATTCACGTAACGCAACCATAAATGTAGAGTTAAACACGATTAAATACACTTAAGTATACTTAACTAAACAGCTTTTAGGTTATAAAGTGGAAATAATGAAAACATCACTTCATAGAAGCGACATTGGCTGGCAAGCGACATCAAACTGTTTGTTACCTTACATTTGTCTTGTTTTATTAAAAAATATACAAAAAACTTACAAAATACTTAAAAATCAATATAATGCACTGGATGAGGGTAGTTTTGTACCAGGTTGCTCAGTCGATGCTCAGTCCGGGCCTGACGCGGACGTATTGAAAAATGCATTCATTGTGCATAAAAATATATCCAAAAAACGAACATCACAAAAACCCTTATCACTTATTGCCTACCTAATATTGATATCATATGGTCGATAAATAAATAATTACAATACTAAATATTATCCTACGAGTAACAATGGCGGATCTGGGAATATTTAGGGGGTCGACACGCCCAAAATAGGGATTATGAAAAATTTAAAACCACATTATTTCTGTGATTTAAATCAAAATAAGATATGCTAGTTAAATATTCAAAATGTTTATTTCATTTTAACTTATCATGTCCCCCTGGGATGACCCCCTGGGATCCGTCAATGTGTACACAAGTTCACGGAGGGTAATCGAGCAAATAATATAATTGTTAAAGCTGCCGACACTCACAAACATTTTATTGATTACATCGAGATCATTCTATAGTCATTTAAAAAACAATGGCGTTTGGTTTTCACTCTAATATAATAAAAATTAATAAAAAATCACTTTAAAATCCAGAAATCACATCTGACTTACTCCTCAAAATCGGTCCAGTTATATAGGCTACAAGACTTCACATGGGAAAAATTATAAATTCGGGAAAAAAATTCCTTTGTTTTCGGGTAATTTTTTAACTAAAGAATTGATTTTTTAACATTCTGTTAAAATTTGAACCAATTCTGTAGGAAAAATATAGGAAATAAATGTCTTTGTTAGGAGCAGGGTAGTCGCTACAAATGTCGACCACGTAACTTTAAAAACACCATTGTTTCTTAAACTTTCCTCTAACTTGAAGTAAAAACTCAATAATATAGTGGGACTTAACTGTATACGAAAAATTAAGAAATTTATTAAAAAAAAATTACTTGTAATTAAAGTTATGTCACAACTAAAAAATTTGGTATGGTATGAAAATATTCAGGAAATTCAATTTTTTGTTTTATTAAACAATTAAATCCCACTGTTCTGTGTAAATAATTAAAACACAAATTTGTTGGTTACTAACATTTAAAATCACAAACATGACGTATAATGTAAAATCAAGTTTTTTTTTACATGCAATTACATTCATATAATGTAAAGAATAGGAAATTTGTCAAAGAATTTGCAACAAGAGAACTATGATCTTGTATTTTACTCTGCACTGAAACTTCCTTTAATATTGCCATCCTTTACAATCTCTGTGGAATAAACAAAGACAACAAGATATGACTTCCCGAGGTTTTTTTTTAATTTAGAGAATTGGTTACAATATTTTTTTTTCAATTAAAATGGTTATAATGACAAATGTCCCATTCTTTACTATAGCTGGCAGCTGTTTCCCGACTGTCAAGTAATAAGGCGATAAAAATGTGTCGCATAATGAATCTTATATCTATATACATAAGACGGATATTCCTTAAGATATATAAAGGACAATAGACACCTATAATACAATTAGAGGGCCGTGGAATGGATACAAAATATTACAAAATTGTATAATCCTATGAGACCTATTCAGGAAATCTTTATAGATTTGCGCTCGAATAGGACAGCGTGCTACAACTAGGTCATTCATAAATTAATTAACAATTATTCAAACTTGGAATAGTAAAAATGGAGATTAATGGGCATATACGTATCAATGAATAATGAACCTTACAGTTTAAGATATAAGAAGTATTTTCGTAAATTCGGTGAGCCTCGAAATATTCTACAACACATTTGACCTTGAAATTTCACTGCCGTGACACTCGTATTGTTTTCAAACAAGTGTATCAACAGTGGAAACACGCAAAGAATACAATGGCACGATTATATACATGGGGAATTGACTTTGTCTTTATTTTACAAAGTAAACGCTACACAGGGTGATACAAGATACAAGATATATTTTTAACGAACATTGTGCGATCAGAAGTTAATATGCATTCGTATATTATAGGCCATTTTATTGGGTACATACAAATTACAGCAGTTAATTATTTGAAATACAACTTGATAACAAATTTTACGTACTATTAATGAAAATGTTATTCGAAATTGATACATACTTTTTTATAATTAACAGTCGTAAATTGTATAGTTTTTAAGCAGACTGTAATTGGCAACACGTTTACCATGAAGTTCCATTGTCACAATACTTGTATTGAAACACAGACTGTCCATTTAAGAGTCTTCTTATTATCTACGTCTTTGTCTATGTTTTCATACAAGTGTTCAGTGGAAACTCACAGCTTAAGAATACAAGAACTCCCTAAATATTACATAACTATACTATATTGACTCCGTGAATTAATTATTATTATATAATGTTTATAGTAAGCACAGAGTAAGTTTATTAGCAAGTAAATAAATGCTTCAAATTGCTGAAAAGTATCAAATAAAACAGATTACTGATGGACAAAATGTTTAAAATTTGATGACAAACGTTTGCCGAAAAACCCAGGGAATGTACAAGATTTAATAAATCAATAAAATGTCTGTGGTAAAAATCACAGATAATACAAGAACACATGTCAAGTTGACAGCTGTCACGATGACAAGACATTTACGTTCGAAAATTTTCAATTTAAAAAAAAAATAGTTACAGAATTATTGAAAAAATCAATTCAAACGAGTCATAAAGTATGGTTATTTTGCCCATCAGTAGTAGATAAGAGATTTGCCCGAAGGATGTGAACCTGGTGTGGTGTATAGTGGAGGCGCGGAGGCTCACCAGGAGGAGGAGGTGGAGGAGGTGGGGGAGCAGGCTAGCGGCTGCTGGGCGGCATGGGCATCTGCGCCTGCACGCCCTGCAGGTTCATGGGCCGCCCGTTGGGGTTGCCCATGCCCAGGCCGTCTTGGTAGTTGTTCACGTCCATTGTTGGCATCTCATCGTTCTGCAAACAACATTATTACCAATACTTAAAAGGTAGAGTTTAGAAAAAATCACACGCTACATTCAAAAAATGTTTGGCAAAATTTTATACAACTTAAAAAGGCATAATAAAACTACATATTTACAAGAAATTATACGGTGATTATTGTAAAAGAATTTGCTATAAAATTACATTTAGTGCTGTGAACAATCTTATCACAATTGCAACATAAAAATGGCATAGCAACATCAAACATAGGAAGAAAACAATGAAGCAAAATGCAGCAAGCGTATGGTATAGAAAGCGTGTACCTCTCTATGGCGACGTATGGTGCGGTCCTCGTAGCGCGTGCCGCCAGTGGAGGCCATGGGTCGGCTGAGCGTGCTGTTGGCGTTGCTGGGCGAGTGCGGCGCGCCCACAGAGCCCGCCGGCGTGCCCTGACCTGTCGCCCACACCACACACCACACACCACGCCCCGCATGTACAACACGCAACCACGTACAGTACGTACACGTACACGTACACGTACACGTACACGTATACGTATACGTTCAGTACCTATCATTTCGAATCTTACAATTAATCTTTAGAGGAAACCCTTAGTCTGGTTTTCTCATACTAAATCTACACTAAGGTAGAGTAGTAAGACTAAGTGTTACAGTTAATTTTTAGATTTTTAAAATATTTTTAATTTGAAGTTTGGAATAAATGTAAAATAGTGAGATTCGAAACAATAAAATTGTGACGATTATGAAATGTTTGTTTAACATATTACAGTGTAGTTGTTAGTTGATTAATTTATTAACCCTTAATTCGACGAATTTTGTAGCAAAAAACTGTTTTTTTAGTAAAGTCATACTTACGTAATTTTCTCTAAATTAGTTCAGTAGATTTTTTTTTTACTTTTTTTTCAGTAGAGCGAATTAAGGGTTAACTACGCAGAAATTTTAAACCTTGGCGACATCTTATCTGATGTCTACGATTAGAAATTATGAATAACGTAATCACTAAGAACTATATTTGTGCTTATGTATTGTACAAAAGCTGTACAAATACTGCTGTACTATACATTCATGTGATGATTACATATAGACATTTATTTATTCACATGTATACCAACTTGTTGCTCAACATGTCACACAGATGCAATGACCATTCCATGATGCATATCACTGACAAAACATTAATTGTTGAACACTGGAAGGGGTAGGTTTCAAGGGAATTTGGGGATAAGGGTTTCTATAAAGGTTTCTCAGCACTGGTCTGACGTTTTCTGTAGGAATGAGAGATCAGGTTTTGTAAGAGATAGGTATGGTACAGTGGTGAGTGTACCAGTGTGTGGGGGATGAGGGGGACGAGGGGGAGAGTGTTGGATGTGGTGATGACTAACCGCTGGAGTTGTTCTGTCGCGGCTGTGCGGCGCGCGCGGGCGTGAGGAAGTCAGCCTCGCGCCACCCATGCTTGCGGTACACCTCGCGCAGCTCCGCGTGCGACCACATCGTCATCAGCACCTGACCTGCAAACAAACAACATTTATATTTTAATATATATCATATATGTAGTTCCTTTATAGAACACAATCCAACAAAGAGGCGCTACCTCTCTATCATTCTCTCCCTATCACTTTCCCCTTCCACTCATTGCCACAATTAATTATTTATAAAGAATGGTAAGTGGATTTAACAGAGGAATGGTCTTGCGGAAGTCTCAGAGCAGCGGTCGCTTCGCTATTTCTACGAAATTTACATGACCACTTGCTAGTATGCCATTTTATTTTATAAAAGAGTTTTCTTAAAATAGTTTAAAATCTTAATACGTGTGTATGTGCTACAGACCTGCAAACTTGAGCACTCTAGGCGTGTGTCGGTGGCGCTGCTTGGTGAGTGCCAGCAGACGCTCCACACCGCCAGCCTCCAGCAGAGAGCGGGAGAACTCGCCGCTCTTCTTGATCACCTCGTTCAGTGTCGCCAGCACTGCTGCTATCGTGTCGTCAGACGTGCCCTGGACAATACGTAACATGTCACATGTACCCGTCAATTCACAGTCAGAGTGGGTAATTGACCACTACGTTATTTTCTCTTAGTCGTGACGCTGACTCCGGGATTAGATTGAAAGGACTGGGGCATTAATATTTAGATATTATAACTTAGTTGTAAGTGATACAGACCTGGTCATGCTGCTGGTTGCCGCTGGGCAGCTTCTGCACCAGGTCCCGCATGGCGTACTTGCCGATGAGCTCCTTGTTGCGCTGGTCTATGGCCAGGTTGCGCAGCGCAGTCGCCACCGCGCACACCACGCGGTCCACCTCCATACGCAGCAGTTCCACTAGGATCGGCAACCCTGGGGAATTATGGATATACGTATATTGCCATCCTTTTTATTCTTTGTAAGAAAAACAGAGATAACAATAACATGATATCTAAAACATTTGAAATTCAATATAGGATTTTATTATATTTAGTTAAATAATGTTTAGTACAATCAACACGTCTTTATAACAAAGTGAACCTTATTACTTGGGATATAATGTACCTTTCTCCTTGCGCACTGCGGCGCGTATGTCAATGGAGGGCTGCCAGTAGCAGGCGGCGAGGTTCTGCAGCGCGCCCGCCGCCGCCTCCAGCGTCTCCGGGTTGGAGCACGACTGCAGCAGCGCCATGTACAGCGGCACCACCTGATCCGCACCACAACACAATACACATACTATGTTACACTATGTGTCTCAAATATTTTTATTGATAAGGTGTAAAACGAACATTTCAGATGCAATTATCTGCATCCTATCTTTAATCGACAGAGAAGGGGATGCACAGAAAATGTACATTTCTCCTCCCTTTGTATCTACTTCTCCGTCAAATCCACTTCCCCATCCTAGCATGCTGTTAAGACAACAAATATATGCCGATAACTTACTTCAGGTGACCACAACATCTCGGTCCCTTTGGGCACGCTGTATCCCAGCTGTGTGTTGGAGCCTGTCTCCCCCAACGGCTGGGAGTCGGGGTCGCTCTTGCCGAGAGGGCTGGTGGAATTGGAGGAGGATGATCCTTCCTTCTTCTTTTTACTGCCGCCGAAGCAACCTAGATTCTCGCCTGAAATCAAGTAGGATATATTTATGATAATAGTTCTAAAAGGAAATTTCTAGCCTAGAAATTCCTCCTGTACCTTTAGACGCGCTAGCTTGTATCCTGGCTTGCCCCGAGGACTGTGTCGGCGGCGCGCGCGTGTCGTACAACGGATCTTCTATTTCTTGACACCTGAAGGTAAACAGTCATCAGAAATGCTTAACAAAGAATATGTATTAATCATATTCCATTTTTGGTTCAGTTCTACCGTCTCAGTCGCATTTACGCAGTCTCTATATCGCTCTATCTCTCTCCCACTTTAACTTCTTACTAAATGTCATATTCCTTTATTTCGAACGCAACGCAAGGGCGTTGACAAACGCGTGTCATCCCTGTCATATGTATGTCTCGCATATCTTTCGTTTAGTAATATAATGAGGACAGAGTTGACAAGCACATGCCATCTCTGTCACTTGTGCCTCCCGTATGCATTCATTTCAATCAAAATTCGCAGCTGAGTTGACAAACACATGCCGTCTCTGTCGCACCTGTATGAGAGGTTGCGCAGTACACAGACGCAGTTCTCGACGACCTTGGTGCCGATGGAGTTGGCGCGCAGTGAGACGCGCACAGTGTGCAGCAGCGCCTCCGCCAGGCCGGGCAGCGCGCGCAGCCGCCGCCGCGCGTACTCGCCCGCTGACGACGCGTTGCGCAGCACGCCGCTCGCGTTACGGAACACTGTCATACAATGCACATTATAACACAAGAAAAAACCAAGAAATACTATCCCGATTAAGGTCAACGGGAAATAATACGATATAAATGTCACTTTTTTTAGTTCCAATAAAATGTTTTAATGAAACAAAGTCTATGCAATAACTGATTCATTGGGCAGTTTATTTCAGCCTTTTTTTATATAGAAGTTAAGAAATTTTAAATTTACACAGTTCTAAAAAACTGTGATAAAATTTTTTGTTACACACAATAATATGTAAATACTTGAATTATTTTTATAATACGTGGATTGGCAGTGGAAGACTACGGTAAACTACAAGTGTGACGCAGTATTAGACTCACCAGTAGACCAATAAGTGTCTCCAGGGTTGGTGGGGTGCCAGCCTGACTGCGGGATGATCACCTTGTTGACGATCACCTGCGCCGCATCATCGATGATCGACTGCTTCAGATCCTCGCACGACGACATGTTCCAGATCACACCCGTCACTAATTCCTTCACCTGGATTACAAACATTTTATTTAAAAAGTTAGTTGTCATAAAGTTATTAAGATAAGTAGATTGAAAAATAATTAATGTAATATAATTCGTAATTTCTAGTATATAAAGTCCTTTTTCCACTAATGCGACTAGTCGTGCGTCTCTACACTATTACTCTTGTTTATATTAGTATAAATTAATTTGTTTTTATTGAACATCGCTCAGTGAAAATTGCCTTTCAGTAGTTACCTCAATATCATTGGTGCGGCAGAGCAGTGCCATAAGCGCAGGTATGCCACCAGCGTCTCTGATGGCACGCTTGTTCTCATCATTCTGTCTGCCGTAAGACAGGTTGCGCAGAGCACCGCAAGCATTGCGGCACACTTCCGCGCTCTCGTGGGACACCAGCCGGACTAGGGGAGGAATGCCACCTGGAAACAGACATTATTTATTCATTTTATAATAATAATAATAAAAAGAATAAGAACGAATCCGAACACATTGTAATATAAAAAAAAATTCGTCGTTGAACATTTCGGTGTTCCCGCTGCTCGTTTGCCCCCTTCTGTTATAAAAAAAAAAGACACAACAGTTGTTAGGAATTACACACTTAAACTAACAATATACTGGATACTTTTAACTGCAATTAGATTTAGTCTGCGACTCTGTCCGCGCGAAATTAAACAAAAAAAAATTATGTCATATCCAACGGTAACGGAATAAAAAGTTTCCTAAGTACTTCTCCTTGTCCTAAGCACCTCCCAACATATTTTCAGTCAGATCGGTTGAGTTATATATAGTGTAACTAACAAGACTTTCTTTTATAACATATCTAGTTTAAGATTTTGAGTAAGCCGACAGTTTTTAGTATAACATACCCAAGCTCCTAGTCTTCTGTTTATTAGGATCGTCCATGTAGGTGAGATGCTGCAGATAAGCTGCAGCATTGGCCTTCACCACATCCGAGGGTGAGTTGAGGAAGCCGATCACCTCCGGCAGGTTGGGGTCTCGCCACTGCAACCCTCCGCCGTCCTCGCGCCCTCCCACACCGGGATGCACTGGAATACAAACATTTTAGTATCCAGCTCGAAGGACCACGTCTAAAAATTATGCAGATCTGAAAAGTACTGTGCAGCTCTCAGAGCCACTAATTACACACTAACAAACCCTTAGCGTGGTACGTAAAGAAGTCACTCTAAGATTTGTGAGTACGGTAGTAATTTAAGACATGTTTATACGTCTTTTGTTCTATTTCATACTTAAATAGTGTTTGACATACTAACCTAACGCCATTCCTGCCATTTGCTTTTGCAATTCATCTTCATCTCCATACATTGACTGACCGCCGGTACTGCCCAGACTTAATCCATTCTGAGAGTCCTGTAAAATATAAGTTACATTAACAGAAACAGGATGGATGGATATTTATAATTAGATATCTTCACAACAACCTCATGTTTCTCACTGAAATTAGATTACGTAAAGGATGACATGAATCAGAAAAGTCTTGAAGGGCCTTTAATAAGATAGTATAGCATACTTTGAACTGTCCCTGTTGGTGGTGCGCGGGCTCGTAAGTGGCGGGGTAGTGCTGGTACCCGTACGCGTCCCCGGCGTACTCGCCGCGCGGTGACGTCACGCAGTAGTGCCGCCCCAGCTGCTCCAGCGACGCAGAATCGTATCTGACATAGAGTACACTCATATAACAGTACTACAATGACAAGTAAACAGTACGACAATCGTATTAGTCTCATCCTTACCTCTGCTGTAGATGCAGGTTATGCTGCGGCGGTATTGCACCTGGCGAAGCACTGCGTGGGGAAGCACTTCCTCCACCTTCTACATACTCCTGGAAACATTAAAATCAACTCTAGTTTTTTAACTGACTACCAATCTATATAAAAATATCGTAAGATAGGAACTCGTTTCTTGACCAAATTTAGTAAAATAAAATATTAAAATCTTGCTTAAATCATTTTGAATGGAATACAGTCTTAACAAAAGACACTTCTATGTTACTGACGTAGGTACACTTAGTGTTTTCTAGAAAATAACATTTTTTGAGTTAGAACAAGCCTAGAGACCATCATATATTCATGATGGCTAAGATTTTTCATGACATACAAATTCACACCAATAATTTTAGAATAGAACTATGGATACAATTGTTAATAGGTGATCTAGAATAACACGTTGACTGCTCACCTGTGCCATGTAGGCGGGCACTTGTGTCCCCGGCTCGACGAGGTACGCTGGCTGCGCGGGGTAAGCAGCGCCATAGTGCGCGTACGTACCGTAGTGTGCGCCAGAAGCCGTACCGTACACGCCCCCAGACACTGACACTGAGTCCATCACCTGGGACAAAGGGATTTAACTTTATATATGTAAAAATATGTTTATTATATTACTGCAAACACTCTAGTTTAATTCATTTATCCACGAAATAAAAAATAAGAGATAAACATGTTTTATAATTCTGTCTAATACCATTTTCGCTTTTGATGTACACTAAAATTTTTATTTATTTATAACAGAAGGGGGCAAACGAACAGCGGGAACACCGAGGTGTTCAACGACGCCCATGGACTTCAGCAATAGCAGAGGAACCGCAGACGCGTTGCCGGCCTTTATGTATAACAAAGAACGTGCTTTATGATTTTGTGGCATTGAACGTGTTATAAACACTTTTGATAAAATAATGATTTAATGATAGTCATTATATTTATGTATTTTATTTCGAACCTATATATATTTAGTGGAAATTGTGAATTGTGTAATTTGTTCAAATTTTAGTAACATAAATTATGTCCATTAACCTTTACCTCATAGTAATATAATAAATGCGAATGTTTAGATGGATGGATATTTGTTTGTTTGTCCTTCCCACTCTTTTTCTTATAAGGAAAGGATGGGAAGTGGAAATGGACTTTCCGGATGAGAGGATGCATGGAAAGGGAAAATATTTTCTTTCTGTGCATCCTCTCCTCCGTCGACTAAAGGTATGCAACGCATATGCAATTGCGTACGTCTATGGGCAACTGTCACTTCGCTATTTCAGCGATTTCAAGTGGCCGCTCGGTCGTTTGCCATCTTATGATAAAAAAAAATCTCCGGAACAGCTGCATGGATCTTGCTGAAATTTGGCATATATGTAAAACATAGTCTTATTATGTCTTAATTCCACGCGAATGGAGGCGCGGGTTACTAGTATTTTAAATAATCCATAAGTTATCAATCCCGACCTAATTAAAGTTCTAATTAGAATAATTCAAGGGATTAAAATTGTTATAACATTATTAGAAAACTGCTATTGGCAGCGTAAAACAAGTTCAAAACGTTAATTACAAACTTTTTAATTAATTTCAAAGTTGTTCTTGAATAAAATACATTCGATATAATATCGACTTTACAATTTGTTTAAACCTTTTATATAATTTTAATTTATAAGACGTAGTTTACTAACTTTTTGGATTATAATACTTTTTTTTCATTTTCATTTTCACTATATGTAGGAATGTACTTTAACATTGTATTTTTTACTCCAATTTAAGTTAATGAGTGACTAATCGTGGGTTTTTGAGTCCAAAATCTCAATTTAAAACATATTGGTATATCTGTGTTGTCAAAGGTAATGACAGAGATAATGATATGTTTTATACAGAGATTTTGGTCTCAGAAACCCATGATGAGTGATTGGGCCATTCTCTTAGTGCTTTAGTGTGTAAGTAAGTAAAAAAATTAAACTTACCTACTGTTTCATTTCATAACGTAGTACCAAAGTGTCTGGACAAACTCACAATGGGTTTATAGACACTTTTATTGTAAATTTGTATTTTGTTCCTTCTATATATAAATTAAAAAAAGTAACAAGAGAAAGAGAGAGAGAGAGACTGATTGACCAACCGTGGGTTTCTGAGAGCAAAATCTCTGTATTAAACATGTCCACATCCCTGTCATTTGACAAAACAGTGATAACAATATGTTTTAAAAGGGAATTTTGGGCTCAAAAACCTACGGTAAATCTGAGAAAGAGTACAAGAGTGTCTAGATACTACTAATATTGTCTACTAGTAATTTATTGAGTTACTGACATGTGGGTATTTCTGCGAGGGCGCCATAGTGAGATGTCCCATGTGATTGTAATGTGCCGCCGGGGAAGACACGTACTGTCCGTAGTCAGGCTCCACGCCCGACACTTGATACTCTCCAGCCTGGAAATATCAGAAATTTCATTTGACCTATTCGTACATATTATAATACTTAAAAATACGAATCGAATATAAGAGTTTCTGACCCAAATAAAAGACTTTTATTGCATTTTCGATTAAAAAAAATTAAATATCATCATCAGCTCACTATACGTCCCCACCGAGGGGCTCGGATCCTACCCTAAGTTAGTGGTGACTAGGCCATAGTCAACCACGCTGACTGTGCGGGTTGACTTCACCTTTGAAATTTCTTCGCAGATATGTGCAGGTTGTATCAAAGTAAATATATACTCGTGTACCTTATTGATTTTATTTTCTAGGACAATGTACGCTGGATATATCTATTAAGTTGTATAAATTACACTTAAAGTTACACACCACTTGAGTGAAAATTTATCTTTAATTAAATTTATAATGTTCAGTGAAGAAGTGTATACAAAAAAATACAAATAGCCAAGTCAAGGAAAATATACGAAGGAATTTCATTTAAGCTCTTTTTAATATAAAAGGTCTAAAGAAGAAAATAAAATGTAACGAACTTGTTTGGTTTTCTTTAACTTGCTCCTAGTGATTTTAAATAAGGTAACTAATGAAATTTTTTACATAAAAAGAAATGTTAATAAAATTTAAATTAAACGTTTGAATAACAACGAATTTACATTTAATTTTGCTTAAAACAAAATTACATTTATTCTTATAAAATTGCATTAAAACTTATGTGACTCCTGACTCTTTTGACGCAGAAGTAGATTTAGAAAAGGGTAGAATAGGAAGGGGAAATATTCTGAAAGTCCCTACCCTTCAATCGTGTGACACTTACCTGCATAGCGAGATGATGCTGGTGAGCGAGCGCGGCTGATAGCTCCGCGTCCTCAGTGGAAGCGTCTGAGCGGGACACGGGGCTGTGCTGAGAACCATACGCGCCCTCTACCGGACCGTTACTGTAACAATAGATGAATGTCTAAAGTCTAAAGGGTACGGATATCCGAAATGCAGTCGTAGGTTCGAAACCATTCGACGCTTGTTTGAGCATAATCCTAGATGAACTCTACTAACAACCAATCTCTAGGTTCCTGATAGGTTACAAAAATAATAGTAAATTTCCCATAATCTGCCATTAGTTGATATACTAAACAAATAGGACGTAAAAGCAAAACAAGATGAAGAAAATTCTGATTAATTACCATATAACATTACCACCAAATCGTTACCAGTTCGTTACCAATTATTTGATATTCAAGTTTAATAAGTCATGTTATAAACCGCAAGAGAGTTGGCTCAAGTTAAAGTTGAACGAGCTGTTGACCCGCATCTCGAGCACTGCATGGGCCGCGCCAAACTAACTCACTCCGCACACCTACCCCTGCATATTTACTAGAGATAGTTTTTGTATATCTGTATTAATATTACCAACAAATATTTACTATCTCAAGAATTACTTATAGTGGGTTTCCGAGACCAAAATCCCTGTTTAAAACATACTGTTTTTTCAAAGATAGTGATAGGGATGACAGTATCTTTTAAACAGACATTTCGGTCTCAGAAACTGTAAATCAATTTGAAACATTATAACATTTATAGAAAGAGTAGAGAGATAACATCTCGTTTTTTCCTTCATCTTTTGTCCTTTGCATTCTTAACTATAATTCAACATCATTTGCTATAAATATAACAATACACAGTATATATCAGCAGTGTAAACCCACCTTAACAATGTGTAATTAGAATAAATCAACTTTAAAAAAAGCTACTTTAAAATAGAAAAAACACGTCGAATAAAATCGATCATCAATGCTCGTTATTTATTAAATACATTGATAAATAAATGCTGGAAGTCTTACAGCTACTTATCACTTAGAACGAACAAGATCCGCAAAGGGCAGGCTTTGATAACTTTAGCGGATGATGTCGCGCCCACTCAACTTGAATACTAATCTCATAAAAGCCTCTTAAGTGCATTTAACACGACTTAACTTGATTCTAACTTAGTTATAGGCATTATTATTATAATAATTGATGAATGGCATTTTATTTATGCTTTTATTTTTTAGGCTCCGAGCACCTCGGTGGGGACGTATAGTGAGCTGATGATGATGATGATGATTATTTTATTTATTTATTATTAAAGTTAAGAATTTGTATCATCATCTCCCTGATCTTGTCCCACTTACGTAAGGTAGGTGCACCAGGTTTTCGTCATCCAAATCAATCTATCTGCCATCATCTCAGTCGTACCACTTCTTAATCAAATTACCATTCACGTAAACCACCCATCTTTTTTCTTAAAATTAAGAATGTGTATTTTAGAGAAAATTTCAAAGTGGCGTCAATACTGTAGAAATTAAGAAGCAAAATTTTAACGTGGTATGGACAAAATTATGCGGAGAAATAGTCAAATAAGCAAAAAATAATTAGATTGAATATGGACTACAAAGGAAGAGGCGACAAAGGAAGATAGATGAAAGTTTGGATGTATTATATGTAAGAAGGTGGTTAATTCACGGCTGATAGAGATGTATGGAGGAGTACACACTGTGCCGACCCTTCGTAAGGACAAGGCCAGGTCCTTACAGAATAGTTCCAAATCAATGCTATTTAGGTACATAGGGTACAGAATATAATGCAATTATAAGGAGGATACCGTACATAGGAAGGAAAATGGGAACTCTTGAATAAATAGGTACCCAATTATCTTCTCTTGTATTCGAAACAAAAAGCTAAAGCAAAAACTAGGTAACCTAAAATAATGCAAGTTTTAATTACAAAAAGGTACGCAGGGAAGGAAAGGAAGTCTGTACGAAATTCATACCCAGATTGTGGTTTTTTTAAGGAGTATTCATCTTAATCTGGTAACAATTAAGTTGGTTAGTCTTTCCCTCTTAAAAGTTGAACTGAGTTTCTATAGATTTTCCGGGAAAATCTCTATACGCATAGCAACATACTTTCAAAAGCATTTTGTAATGATTCTCGAAGCTTTACAAATTACCTTTGAAGAGTTTTTTGCTTTTCGAACTGACGTACTTATTGATATTGCCAACAAACAGGTGAATGAACATATTCAAATGATAAAATATCAAACGACACAAAGATCAAACTAAGACAAATTAAAGAAGTACCAATATTATAAACAAACCTATTTCTCCTTATTGGAATCACTGAATATTTTTAATCTATCAATAAAATAAACACCTAAATCCCAAAAAAATCGATTTCATCGAGATTTACTTGTTTAATATCGTTCAAATTAAAAAAAACAACTTTATCTCTTCTTGAAGATTTCTAATAAAATTGATTATTCTAAGCAAATTGATTTACTTCTACTAAAATGTCAATATTTGTATGGAAATAGTAGTGAAGTCCATAAAACTAATTCGATCAATTAAAATCGATTCGCATCACCAATTATTAACAAGTCGATTATTCGGTTATCGGAATCGCCGTTAGGGTTGCGAGTAATTCGAAACTATAAACATTTATATTTAACATTTAAAAAAAATACTTTTAGCCCACTTTGAAACTTCAATTTTAAAAAATCGTTCAGACACACTAAAGATTATTCTATTCAATTCATCTTCTACAATACAATTCCGTCAGTTTGCATTGCCGAAACACCTTTAAAAAAACATTTTATTATCTCTGTCTTGTCTATAAATATGAAAGGAATGGCAACATTCCTTGTAGAGGAGTTATGACAAAGAAAACAAATTAAACATAACATTAAATTATTTTCTGTGACAACCCTAACGACAAATCATCCGCGAGCGTGTCAGTGATAAAACTAAGCCGAATGTTGACGTGACACGCTACCGATTTATTAATTAACACGTCAATCGAAACAACAACGACAGCTTCCGGCACCGCGTGACTGGGAATTGTGAAATCGTGTTCACTTCAAATGTCTATTGTCACAAGAGAGTTGAAAGACAAAGTAATCTAAAGGGAATAGGCACTTACTAAAATGTAAGCTTTATTTCGGTATATAACCACTTGAGTCATGGGATTTCGTAGTGAAATGCCAGTTTATCTTACTAATATTATAAATACGAATGTTTAGATTGATGGATGTTTGTTAGAAGGTATCTCCAGAACGGCTAAACGGATATTTAGGAAATTTTGCATAGATGTAGAACATAGTCTGGAGGAACACATAGGATAAAGTTATTTTTTAATTCCGCATGAACAGAGTCGCGACACATTTCTTTATAAGAAATCCGATTCAATATTTGAAAGCATGATTTGATTTTGTTTTATGCTTACAATTATGACCAATATATTAGCTATATGTTTTACTATTATGTCCAACTTAAATCATAAAAACATTGTACTACGAGACTAAGAACCATCAAATAAAACACACCATAAAAAAAGTTGAATAAACTTCAAAGTAATCTAATATTCTGTATAAAAGCAACCAATCATTAATATCATTCTATTGTAAAAGTTTGGAGTATTCACAAGTTTAGGTTTAATCGAAAAAATTAAAAAGTTATCCTTACAAATTACATTTAAAGCGAAAGTTTGTCGTATACTGAGATTTACAACCACAAAGCGTTCGCACGACGCGTCCTAGCACTTGCCACATTTTATATCAACACTCATTATAAAGAGGATTGTTTTGTTATGTTTATGATGAATAAACTCTAAAACTACTGGACCGATTTAAAATCTTCTTTCATAATTTAAAAGCTACATTATTTCTTCGTAAAATAGACTACATTTAATAAACATTATTTTTTAAAATTTTAATAAATGCCCGCCAATGAGAAACCCGGACGAGTCGCTATGTTATTTCCACTCTCGCCCGTACTACGAATAAATAGTCCTTCATTTTAGCTTTTCCTTTTTAGCTTTTCATAACGCGATGACAATTATTCATCTGCTGCAGTACTTTGTCCAGTCCGAGTCTCGGAAAACGTGAGAAAATATTCTTGGGATGAAAATTTATTATTAAAGTCCGGTGTTTTCCAGCGACATATATAATGTTTATTATTCTATTCTATCTTCGTTATACAAGTGACTGTGTGTTTCCACTACCGAAACATTTGTTCAAAAATATATATCAAAAACAAAGGTTAAATGGAATGATGGAACGGAAATCTGACTAATACCTTAGGCCGTTTGAGTCATCTTTCATCATTCTTATAAAATTCCATGACAAAGGATTTAAATGCTAAAAGTATTCGTTAATATGCAACCAGTTTTATTGATGCTATTAATAAAAAGATGTATTAAGTTTCGTTTATTGAATAGTATGAACAGTATAACATAAATTACATTATACACGTTCTTTACAATTATTTTTTGCAAACATCATTCAACACTCAGGGAACGTACCCATATTACGTGACCCGTTTAGAGGGGGGGTGTCCTTAAAATACTACGGTCAGTCACAGGAGCGGGTCACAAAGAGGAGTATGAGCCAAATTTTTTTTTTTCAATTTTTGCCTGTAAAATGATCATAAATTATAATTATGAATTACTACGTAAAAACCAAAGGGGCGGCGTGTCTTGGCATGTACTACGAGTAGTCACCGAGGGGAGGGAGGGATCGAAAAAACTAAAGAAATAAGTCACGTAGTATGGGTATGTTCCCTTATCTACCCATTACAGCCAGCCGTCTGTTAAAAAATACTGTTTATATCCGAGTATGGTTATTTAAGGCGTACAAGCGGAGGATTCTCATTGCAAAAACAAAACAAAGCTGGGTGTAATGGTATGCGAGCGGTCGAGGCGCGAACCCGGCCCGTCCGCACAACGCTGATTCATCTATATTAATAATTACCTAATGCCTCGCCGGATTCCTGAGCTCGATTCAATCGATTTTACAACTTACATTAAAGGTATATATACAACTTGTATGATGGGCAAAATATGGCAGAAGACGGTTTAGAAGGAAAAGAAAATCCGAGAATACTATTGCCAGCTTGAAACAGGACAAGTC